AGTGATTCATGAGAGTTGGAAACAGACATAGTTTCCTACCGCCTGATGAACCCAGCAACACATGAGCTTCACCAAATTTTGTTGTATTAACTTTTCACTATTTCTTCTTCTGCCTTCATATTATTACAGTTGTGTTGGAGGGTTTCATGAACTATTTCTTCTTCTGCCTTCTTATTATGACAATTGTGTTGGAGGGTTTCATGAACTATTTCTTCTTCTGCCTTCTTATTATGACAATTGTGTTGGAGGGTTTCATGAACTATTTCTTCTTCTGCCTTCTTATTATGACAATTGTGTTGGAGGGTTTCATGAACTAGTCCAATATCTGTGGTGAACTGCGTTGTAGTTTCCAGATCATGCAGCTCCACATACAGTTTTTCTCCTACAGGGATGTTTTGTGGCCAGTGTGTTGTTCAAGCCTCTGGATTCAATATTTAAACATATGATATTTTAGCCACCTTGGTGAAGCAATCCAAAGTTAGACTCCACTATATATGAGATCAATTCATTTATAGTTGATTCCAGTTCATTGGACCACTTCTAGAAACTATCATTTTGGTCCAAATAAACAGGCTATTTTGATTACACTAACATTTTATACGTTTCAAGAATGTTTATGTACTTTAGGAATCAGTACAAGTAAACTGCTGGTCTGATGAACCAGATTCAGCTGTATACATTAGACCTAATATTTGATAGAACAAGCTGTATGTCATCTGTGAATACTAGTGATACTAGTTCCATTTCATTCCAATGTTAAATATTGGTCTAAACTCACAGGGTCAAATGGATATTGAAGATTTTAACTACATCTAGTGTAAAAAAAAAAAAGCCCAAACCATTTTGTTCAATATGTGGTTCTTTATTATGTCCTATCTGTGGTTCTTTATTATGTGTTGACTTCTTTACCTAATCAAGATTGTATTAGTGAATTTCTTTTCCAGGGCATCAATGATGACATTATTTTGAACTGCTGTCTACATTACTGTAAAGATATGGCCAGAGAATTTATGCCCAAAGATAAAGGTAATAGATTTTTTTTGTTCTAAAAGCAACTTTCTTTTTCCTCTTAGTTTCTGTAAAAACATTTCAGAAAGTAGTACTTCATGACACAAGTTTTCAACTCTGTCCTCATGTATCTTCATGTCAATAGTGCTGGTCACTTAGTTTAGATTTTTGTATCATCAACACTAAGAAATAAAAGTATGTAATTTAGTAAAAAAAAATTGCTATGAAGAAGAAAATGTTCTTAGTGCACAGGAGTTTTCAATACTTGAAGCTCAGTTCTAGTCCATCAATGTCTGATTGTATAGGCTGAAGTGTTATAGAATCTAAGGCTTTATTAGCAAGACAGTCAGTTAGTACAATAAAAGCTCTAGCCATGTTTTGACAGGATGTCAGGTTTGTTGTATCAGGCTGAGTGTAGGATCTAACATTCCATGGGCCATTAGAGATGTTAAGCTCAGCTTTTTCTGTCAAGATAATGACCAACTGCCTTTGAATTATTTTTAGCTCAGCTTTTTCTGTCAGGATAATGGCCAACTGCCTTTAAATTATGTTTAGCTCAGCTGTTTCTGTCAGTACAATGGCAAACACCTTTTAATTCTTGTGATGAAAGATGAGTTGAATTAAAAATGCTTCCCCAGGATTTGCTGGTCTCTCCTTACTTTGTGTTTCCCTTTCATTTCAGACCAACCAGTCAGACTGTATCGAGAAGTTGTGCTGCTAACAGATGACAGGAACCTGCGCCTCAAAGCTCATACATGTAATATACCTGTTAAAGATGTCCCCAACTTCAAACGTTGGAGTAAAATAACCTGAATTCATGCCAAGGAACCTTGGCTTGGTTTGAACCTTCACTGACAGCCCTCCCAACAGCTTTTTGTATTAGATCAGTCGTTTCCTGTCTCTGGTAAAATGGATTGGGGCCTGTGCCACCAGCACCACCATTCCGTCTTGCATGCTTGTGTTTAGTTATCAGTTTTGAGCAATGGAGTTGTGTCCCTTATAGCCTCTGCTGTGAAATGTCTTGTAATTCTTGGTAATGCCAAGGTTATCTGCTTGAAGAGAAGGCTAAATTTAGTAGCAAGTGTGTCAACTATTCGCTGGTTTATATGAACAGGTCCTATGATTGACATAGGGTCCCCTCTTAATATTGCTGAAAGGTCAGCTTAACAGTAATTACTACAAGGCTTTAACTGCCAACCAAGTGACATTTGTGCAAATTTAAGACATTTTTTTTTTATTATTAGTGTGTTTTATTTAATTCTGTTGGGTTTGTTTTTTTTTTTTTTTTTTCAACTAATAAAAAATTTAATTTCCAGTACCTAAGAGATAATAAAACCAACATCTGTTGTTCTTTGGTCAATAAAAAAAAAGTTTTCCAAAAATATTAGTTATATAGAAATTGAACTGATCATCAACTGAAATGATCCAAAGAATGAAATGTACCAAGTTTTGATTTTACAACTAAAGTGAACTTTTTTTTGAAAAGGAATATCCAATTATATAGTGCAAAGTATTTTACCATACTTTTTAAATGTGTGGGGCATTTGTAGGTTGTTAATGTCTATCAAATGCAAAAATGTTTTTTTGGATGCTTCTTGTCTTTTAATGTTAATCTCAGAAACTTATTGTTATAGGCAATGTGTCTAGCACAAACCTAACTCTAGATATAGAAACATAGATTTTGGATATGGAACAAACATAAAAAACGTTTTTTTATCCTCAAATTGTATAATATTGAACCCCGTTTCACCTGGTGATCAGACACTCAGACAGTTGTTCTCTTCGAGCAGAAAGTTCAACTACATAACGGACTTCTTGTTTCTACTTAATGTCAAGACTCTGGCTTGTTCTTGATCGTGGGCTGTTTAGTTTTGCTGAGCGCAACTTTGGTAGTGAGAACTGGGTAAGTTCTTGAGGACCGGATGAATTCTTGAGGATTGGATAAGTTCTTGAGTACTTGATACCTTCTCATTGTTTTCTAATGATGTCATGAAATATGTCTTGATGATCAAGTTTTGTTTAGAATTATTTCAATTCTTTTTTTAGAATTAATTTGAAATGAATTGTGCTATAATGTTTGGAGAATAAAAATTTAAAATTCTGGAGTAATTAATTTAAAAAATAATTTTAAGAGGACCGTTGGGGGAAAATTTCATTGATGTCTCATGTGAGTAGCACAAAATCCAACTAACTACCTTTACACCCCTTCTCATTTCTGGTTCCATTAGAGTGCTAGGCATCGAAGAACATTCTCGTGTTTTAATTTCTCTTCAGCTCAATACTATCAGTTCAGGGGACAAGTGCTTTAATCACAGCCACCACATCCTGTATACATGGTTAATGAATTGCATTAGAGAGATTAGAGTCTAGCAGTTTGATCAGCAATGTTGAGATTTTCAATTTGTTATTATGTTGCATAACAAATGTGTAACAAAAAAAACTAGTAATAAATTGTCAACTTTGAAACATAAAGATTTATTGTTGGTTGTAAAACGGTATCATTCTGTATCGCTATGACTTGTTACAAGAAATGTTTTAGTGAGATTGGTTTGAATCTTCTTGGTTCAGAAATGTTGTTGGTCTCTCTCGGCATGTCTTTGGCATGTCTGTCTCATTTTAAGACATCAATTATTTTTCTAGGATTTAGACTAAGACCTACAGCAGTCATGTTATATATTTTGAATGGAATTTGCAGCTCTAATATTGTTTCCATTGCCATTTCCAACTTTTTGTTTAGTTTAACCCAATACTCTGAGGTGTTTCTTTTTAGGACAATCAAAAGAGAAATGATTAAAGTAGAGATACTGTGTTTAATATTTTATTGCTGCGTTCTCTTTATACTAATCTTTTTTATGAGTTCCTTTATTTAAAAAAAAGTTGTCAAATGTTCAATTACATCAACTATAAGGGTAAACAGGACTGTAAAAGATGAATTGACAATAATGTTGGATTAAAGAGGTCAGTTGAGTCATTTGGATTACTTGTTCCTGTATGCTGGAGAACATTTATGACTTCATTCTTTTAACATTCAAAAAGTTGTGCACCATTTCTAAAACCTGTTACAGAAATCACATTGTAATTATTAACTTACTAACTTATGCCTTGGCTACATAATGACCTTGACCTTTGGGTCTACCCATCATGCAGTCCTTAGAGATCCTTGCATACTTTGACTTGACCTACACCCATACTAATGAAATTGTGTTATTAAGGATGAAAATGTTTTGACTTATTAATTATTCCCAAGCAGTACCTCAGCAAGTATATTGTCATTGCAATAAAAATTGCTAGATTGAGGCTCTGTTAAGGGATTGTTGACATATGTATAAAACCCATGGTTTGAAAAAAGAAAAGTCATTTTTGCTTCAATGGGTTGCTTTAGCTTAGCTAATGTTATGGTTGGGTTTCAACTTTTGCTGTTAGCTGAAAAATTGTAATATAACTTATTTGTTGGTTAATGTCACCACAGTTTTTTTTTTATTTTCCTCAAGATCAATAGAAATGAAATGAAAATTTGTCCAAATATTTTTCTATTTATGAGTGCAACATGGCTAATCAAATTGGTGATATTATCTGAGACTATGATTGAATTTCTGTCATAAATTAAGCTAATCATTTGAAATGAATTTGAAATTGTATTGTCATTTTTCCCCCCAAATCTTGTCATTCAAGTGCAATTACTGTCATCTCAGATGACCTGACATTTACATGACATTTTTATCTGTTAATATTTGTGCTAAGTGCTGTTCGCACTTTTTGAGTCATTTTGTGGGTCTCCTGAATGAATGCCAAGAAGGGATTAGTTCTCTGCTCGATCATCTTGTGGACAGAAGTGACTTTGTGATTAAGTTGTAATAGACTATTAGTTGGCAATGTCCAGTCTCTAAAGATGCTGGGACAGTACAATAGAAATGATCTGATGGATGATGTGACTGAATAGATTGATGATGTGACTGAATTGATTGATGATGTGACTGAATTGATTGATGACGTGACTGAATTGATTGATGATGTGACAGAACTTTGTTTTGTCTCTAAATTTTATTTTTCTGAATCTGTTTAAAGTTGTCTTTTTAACCTTTTTGTTTTCGTTTGATCCAAGTACATACATCACAAGTACGAAGGTATGTGCTTACTTTGTAATGGAAGATAGTACAAAGGCTCATAACAAATGTCATTTAAAGGGTGAAAATTAGTGAAAAATCTAAATGTTTTTTTTTAAATTTTTTTTTTGTAATTAACATTAGTTATTTATCTCTGATAGAGGAAACTAATTTTAAATGTGGATTGGATTTGGGAGTACTAGTTACTTAATTTTAATGATTACATTGAATGTAGTGTTGATTTGATTTTAAACCTTTGTATTGCGTTCAGTTGTCTATGATTAGAAAGCCAATCCATGCTAGCTTTTATTAGGACAGCAGTGCAAAGGAAATTCTGTTTTAGAGTTGTCATTATGTCAATGGGAATCTGCTGGTATCATTAGGTCAGTGAGAATAGACCAGTGAGATTAGGTCAGTAAACATTGACTGGTGATGTGTTTTGGTTTTCTGTTTTGTGCAACTTCAATAAATGTTTTTTTATTCTTTTTTGAGTGTTTTGGTGCATTGCTTTGTCAGGGCAGATATGTGTCTTAAGATGTTGACACCTTCATGGTGACACACACACACACCCTTTACAAACTTATGGTACACACACGCTATAATGAGACATTTGGTACACGCATACACATGAGTTACAAATATTTGGTACACACACACACACTATGAGGAGTTATAGTTACAAACATTTGGTACACACACACACTATAATGAATTACAAATATTTGGTACACATACACATGAGTTAAACACATTTGGTACACACACTAATGATGAGTTACAAACATTGGCACCTGCTGGTACACACACACACACTTGAGTTACGAACATTGATAAAAAGGTAAAACCAAAAGTTTCTATTCTCAAACCATAACTAACGTTGAATGCAAATTTACAAACATGATTTATAAAAAAACTAGTCAAAAGCGTTTTTTCGTTTCACGAGCTGTGGCAGGCAAATAAAAGAACACCTCTTCAAACGTCATGGGACACACACACAAAAGTTAATCGCATCCCGAGAGTCATCCTTTATGGGCAACCCGTGACAGGCTCAAGAAAAATTGGTCATCCCCACCTCCGATATGTGGATGTAATCAAACAAGACATTTGATGTTGGTTACTGACCTAAATGTGCATTTTGAAATTATAGGCCAGTGCATTTAAAACAACCTACACTTAGGATTTTAGCACAGTTTGTTTATGTTTAGTTGGCAACTCTGAGGGTCAATTTTGCGTCCTTGACATTGTTTAGTTCATCGTGAAAATCTCTAATAATAATAATGAATAACGATGGGAGGTCAAAAGTCCAACTGTAAAAAAAAAGTGGTTGGTGGGGAAAAAATTTGAACGCGACATAGTGTCGTCACGACTTAGTTGGGTTAGAGATTATTTATGTTAATAGAGTCGGTGAAAAATAACTCCAACACCAAGAGAACTTTTTCCATGTCTTTATTGATTTCAAGAAAGCTTTCGACCGAGTATGGCACGGGGCACTCTGGGCGACAATGTAAAAGTACAACATAAATAAAAACATAATTAAAGTTAACCAGAACCTGTACAAAGAGGCCACCAGTAAGGTGTACTTCAACAATAATATTAGGGACTGGTCCAAAACCACAGATGGAGGAGTAAGACAAGGCTGCCTACTTTCACCAACACTCTTTAATATCTTCCTTGAAAGGATAATGGAAGATGCTCTCGAGGGCTACGAAGGTACTGTTAGCATTGGAGGAAGAAGAATTACTAACTTGCGCTTCGCAGATGACATTGACGGCCTAGCAGGGACAGAAAAAGAACTAGTTGACCTGGTGATGCGCATCGACAAGACTTCCGCAGCATACGGCATGTAAATAAATGCCGAAAAAAAACAACAAATTATGGACTTTAAAAGGGGCATCAGTATTTGAGGTAAAAAACTGACTAGTGTTAGCAGCTTCAAATACCTCGGAGCTATTATCTCAGATGAGGGAACGAAACCCAAACTATTGGCCCGAATAGCACAGTCCACAGCAGCCCTTTCAAAACTTCAAATAATATGAAAAGACAAAGTCTTAACCCTCGGCACCAAAATCAGACTGATGCGTTCCCTGGTCATGGCCACATTCTTATATGCTTGTGAGTCTTGGACGCTAACTGCAGAGCTAGAAAGAATGATCCTAGCAATGGAATTAAGATGCTAATGAAAGATGCTAGGTATCACATTCAAAGACCGCATCACAAACCAAGAGATTAGAGACAGAGTTACTACAGCGCTTGGACCCCATGATCACTAGCGTTAAAAAGAAAAAAGCTAAAAATCTATGGCCATATTACAAGGTCCTCGGGGCTCGCAAAGAACCTTTTTTCAGGGAACAGTACCAGGAAAAAGAAGAAAGAGGCAGACAGAGAAAACGATGGAAAGACAAACATAAAAGAATGGACGGGCCTGCCATTGAAAGAGGCTCTAAGACAAAAGACAGAGGAATGGAGAAAGACGGTCGACAAATCTTGCATGGTGCCCCAGCGGTCCAGCAGACTTAGGGATAGGTAAAGGTAAAAAGTCAGTTAGTGTTTGGACTTTCTAGGGATCACTTGATAGTACGGACAGAGGCTCGACTGTGGCCATTTCAGTACTAAACGTCATCTAAGTTTGTATAGCGGTTCGGACTTAAGTCTTTTCTACTTGTTACTTGTGTAGGTCTTGTTACTTGTTAGTTAACTCTTTCTCTCCTAACTGACGATACCAGCGTTGATTCCATCAGAATGTGGTAAATAATTGCGGAGAGAAAGAGTTAAGTACATCGAATACACCCGTACAAGAGACCCAGACATCTTCTGAGTAATATGTTGAAGTCAGACAGCCATCCACAACCTCACAGGAACCATTTAATACCCAGAAAGACACACATTTAAGATAAAGGTACATTACTTATCCCATATGCTAGGACAAAATCCGACAAATTCGTACACGTTTATCTTCATAAGTTAGAAGCATGGAACGGGTTGCACGAATCAGCCAAGAAAACCAATGACGTCGCAGAGTTCAAGTCACTAATTAACATGCGCAACTTGATGAACACGTCAGGGATCATGGATGCTGTCATCTTCCGTTGAAGGAACGTCTGTACTTTATGAGATAAGATCGTTTGCATAGAAGGAATTTGTTGATGTGTGTTTTATTTAGGTTGCACCACTCGGTGTTAGGGAGTAACTGTTGTTGTCAACCAAGATGGCGTTAGATTAAACAGCTGATTTTGGTGTCTATAGCTTATATCTAGAGTTTTGATATAATTCGTTCATGTTAATTAACAGAATTATTTTCCTTTATTCTTAATATTAGGATTTATTCTTGCATGAATAACATGGAGGCTATAATTAAGAGGAAAACGCAAACAGGGGCGTCCTCGTATAACTAGGGCGCCGCCCCTTGATGTAGGACAGTGGACACATGCTGGGAAGTGGCTGCAGACATTCCTGGAGACTAATCCCTATGGGTCTATGGAGACACAGCTTGAAGCTCAAAGCGCCGAACAGGAAAAAAAAAGGGGGGGGGGATTCAATACTAGTAAGATTTTTGATCTAGGATCTACATAATATTTATTTGTATACTTGAATATTATTTGTAAAATATATAACCCAGATCTAGTCCGAAAAACAAAATGAAGGAGTGTTGTTTTTCCTTTTTTTTTTCTTCACAAAAAAATATTCAATACAAAAAAAAATTGTTCAATATCACTTATAATTGCTAAGACAATTTTGCAGTGTAATTCAAATTGTTCCATTTCAATAAGTCCATGCAACATTAACTCTCAAACTTTCCAAGTATATCATTATCACGGAATAAGAAGTATTCTTTTTTCTTCCAAAATCACCTTAGCGCCTCCATTTTCAGGCCATAAAACTTTGTCTCCAACCTTCCCACTAACTGGAACCACATTACCATTATCTTTTCTGGCTCCTGAGCCAACTGCTACAACTGCAGCTTCAAGAACTTTGCCTTGCGACTTTTTCAGGTAGCATGATACCTCTTTTTGTTTTAATCTCAGGCAGAAAACTTTCAACAAGTACTCTTTCAAACATGGGTAAAAATATCTTGAATGCTTGTGCCATTGTGTGTGATACAGATGTGTGAATTAATAATAAAAACACAGCAAGATTGTGAAATTCTGAATTTATTTGTGCTAAATAATTTAGATCTAACGTCCAGGATTTTATTAGATTAGATTAGATTATTTTATTAGTCTAGTACAAAAGCAATCAAGATCACGCCGACTCTATAGATCTAGTTATAAACAAAAACACTTTTTAAAAAACTCGCAAATTTAACCATTCAGGCCTAAGTTTGTTGTCCAAAAGGGATGAATAATCTTTAACATTGTGGGTGCTACCCCAGAGCACTATTCGAATTTGTCTAATCAGTGTATGTATTTTGTCATCTTATTGGCCATTTTGGATGACCTTTAACCTGCTGAATGCAGCCTCAGAACGAGACAGCTGGAGATCACTCACGAAGGCCGCGGGATACACATTTGAGACCAAAAGAAAATCTGCTGCCGAGGACAAACGCAGACGACGAAAAGAAAATCTAAATCGATCACCTGCGGACAATGGTTATGCTTGCCCTGGATGTGGCAAAATATGTAGGTCACAGCTGGGGTTACGCAGCCACGGGAAATACTGTATTCCTCATTAATCTTTGTACTCGAAGACAAGCCTTATTATTATTTTGGATGGAACTTGTTGAGATAGTCTCAACTGTGTAACTCACTTTCCCGGTCCTGCGACTTAGGCCAAGACGCGTCTTATCTGCTAATTTGTGTGTTTACAAGCAAGAGTCACATTCGCGCTTTCATTAATGTCAGGTGTTCAAATTTATATATATATATATATATATATATATATATATATATATATATATATATATATATATATATATATATATATATATATATATATATATATATATATATATATATATATATATATGCTGCTTGTCTCTAGTTCTTGTTGTGTTTCTTAACTTGGTTCCTGTGTCTCACTAGGGGTTTCTTGAATATTAAATAATACTTGCTTGGTACTTTCTTGGTTACTCAATTATAATTCAATACTTGCTTAACTTAAATACGAACACTTAATATACATCAACTCTAACTCCTTATAGTCACGAATATCGATAATACTTTAATACCTAATAAGTACACAATTATATCACTCTTATGAAATACACAAAACACCAGTCCATCAACTTATAAATATATAAATGCATAAATACCAGTCCAGGAAGTAAACGTCCACCCTTCCTGGACCGGGAGCAAGACCTTACTGACTAACACATTCTCTCGCACATTCAACGAAGACTTAATGACTCAGTTCACAACACGTGCAACACTTCGCATTCATAACAAGGGGATATAACAATCATATCAAAATATCAAACTAACATTCATTCTCGCCATACCTCTCCCTGACAATTAAGATTTCCAACCCGAGAGCCTTCACGATGGAAGGC